GTAGCCAATCCTAGTGAGAACCATTGTTTCAATGCCTCATGCCTTCTAAATCTCTTCTTTCAGGGTCCCCAACTGATAGGCACAGTTCAGTAAACCTATCTCTACATAGAGATAAACCTATTACATTAGCTGCTCCATCTAGAGTTGTATTTTTTCTTTTGATATTATTTCTGGCTAATAAAGCAACCACAATTTACTTAGTAAAGTCACAGACCTTCTATCTGTATCAGTAATCGGTTGTAATTTCCAAAGGGAGTATTAAAGTTCATATGTGTAAAGGCAGGTATGACCTTCAACTATTTTGATCCTCTGCTATAACTATATTTATTTACCAGGATCTTCTACTTCTTTCTGCTCTTTCTTTGTAGATAAGAACTTTGTAGATAATTAGTGCTAAATTAGCACCAAAAAGCATTAAAAAAGAAATAAGATATGATATTTAAAAACTTAGGAACTCACATAAACTACGCTGTTGCTAACTCCCTGCCCAAATCAGTAGTCTTCACCTATCATTATATTTGCTGTGTTCTATTTATGTTTTTCCTTAATACAACTATATGCGTACATCTATGCATCCTTCAATTATTTAGATATGACTGAAGGGTGATATGAGATTATAGACAACAAAGTTCTCTGGTAAGAAAACAGTAAGCTTACTTTCTGCTAAAATAAATTTAGGAGTATCTGCATTTATAAAAAATAGCATCTTTGTCAGCTCAGCTCATGCTAATTAGAACAATTTCTGTCTGCTTTAGCTCCAAATGTAAGATTTAAACCTCAGCAGGTTCTCATCCTTATTTAATAGAACTTTTCATTTCTTATTTCTTGATTTCTTCCTGGTTCTCCTGGTTTCTTATCTAGTAGTTCCTACTTGTTTGTATACAATCCAATCCTCTGAAGATTTAAGAATATTTAAAACAACTGAAACAGGTGGAATAATTAGGCTGCACTCCTCAACATCATTCCTCAATAGGAAGTAAACCTGAGAGTAAGTTTTGTTTTGTTTCTCATGAAAGAATGCACAGCATTGCTCAACACCAAAGGCTTGTGTCTCTCAGAGATATAGATGCCACCAGAATAAGAAAGTGACATTTGAACTGCTCCGTGCCAATAATTTTTTTTAGACTCATTCCAAATAGACCTGTCTTCCTATGATGTGTTCTGACATTTTTGCCTGGTCCAATGCTCAATCTTGGAACATATCAATCTACAAAGATCCATCAAGGAAAGTTTATATGAACTAGAACATCAACTGACCATTAGAGGGAGCTTTAATATTTTATGAATGTGAACATTTCTACCTGCTGTGGCTTCCATCAAAAGTATACATTAATTGAAACAACTGTAAATTAGACTTCAGAATAGTAGACCACAAGCCTTAACATTGCCATCTACTTTATCAGAGAGATTAATCGCATAAAAAGAACCAGCTGTTACTAATTGTAAGCTTATATCAAGTATGTACGTATATCACTCCAATACATTTTACATATATCAAGTATGCATTTCACATTTTACAGATGTTACAACTGAATTTTGCAAAATGTCCAAGAAAATAATATATGTATCATATGTTTGTGAAATAGTCTTTTTGACCCTTTTTTCCTCCTTAACAGCTTTACTGTCCAGGTTGGACCTGTCAAAGAAAGGAAGATAGCCAAGACTTGGCCAGAATTTTGCCAGCTTTTACATATGATTCCCCATCCCCCTGCCTTCATGTCTATGCCTCTTTTTCTTCCTTGCATGGTGAAAGGGCTGACCAATTCCATTCTGCTTCACATTTCATATTGATAAGTAGTTGCCTAGCAGTTAAGTGCTCCCCAGAGCTGAGTAATCCACTCAGTCCTTGAAGTTCATAGTAATCTGTATTGCACTGAAGGAACTATGAGCTTTATGCTTCTGATATACATAGTTCCTATCTCATGGCTCTAGGAACACTTCATCTACTACTTAACCCTTTTAACTCAGTATGCTAAGGACAGAACATGGGTCTGGAACTTTCCAAATGCAAAGTATGTGCTTCACCTTACCTCCAAACTACAGTTACTTTTCCATCAAATTACAAATGTCTCTTAAAAAAAAAAACTATGGAAAAGGAAAATAAGATTTATACTTCTGTAAAAAAAAAAAAAAGTATCTCTTATCTGATTTTCTGAATTCATCCATATCTGTCACTAAATGTTATCAGAGTCATTTGAGCTCTACTGATACGTGAAGGAAATGAGTGAACAGATAACACTAAATTTTGGAAGTTTTAATTTATTTCGTAAACAGTAATGTGTTCCAATGTGAAAAATAATCCCCTTCCCCTTCACTTAAAGGGATAACTAGGGGCAACTGTGCCATATATAAGTCTCACAAACTTTGGCTTCCTCATCTCAGTGAATTCTCACCACGCAGATTTTACAGGCAGATCATGCCTGCTAAAAATAAATTTCTGAAGAGCTCTATCAAAAAGTCCTTGATGCCTATCAATCTGGAAAAGATTACAGCACCATTCCTAAAGTTTTAGAGCTCTGTCAATCCATAGCCAAAGTCATAAACTTGAAATGGAGAAATTTTGGAATAACGTGCCTCTTCCCAAGAGTGACTTTCTTGTCAAAATTGTCCCACAAATGCAACATAAAAGGCTGTCACAAAGAATCCAAGTACAACATCTAGAAATCTGGAAGCTACTGTTTCCTAAAATCAGTGTTCATGACTGTGCCATCAGAAAAACACTGACTAGATAAAATTGGGATTCATGGGAGAATAGCAAGAAGAATCAAGAACACTGATGTCTGTGTTAAATGTTGCAAAAAGCACATAGATAAACATACAGACTGGTGGAGGAATGTTATATGGGCAGATGAGTCAAAGTAGGATATTTTAAGTGACATGGGTATCATTACGTTAGGCAGAAACTAAAATTTGCATTCTGCAATAAGAACCTCATATCATTTGTTAAGCGTGAAGGTGATAATGTCATGGTTTGGATATTTCACCACTTCAAGACCAGTATAACTTGCCATCATTGAAAGAACCATAACTTCTGCCTTGTATCAGAGAATTTGACAGGAAAATATCAGTCCACTTGTGTATCAACTGAAACTGAAACCCAAGTGGCTCGGACAGCAGGACAGTGATCCCAAACATACAAGAGAATGAGGAGCAACAGATTCAAAGTTTTTGAACAATCAAGTTGAAATCCAGACGTAAATCCCATTGAAATATTGTGGCAGGATCTGAAGCAAGCTAGAAAACCCTCACATATTGCTGAGCTGAAGCAGTTAGCCATAAAAGAATGGGCCAAAATTCCTTTACCGCAATGTGAGAAACCGATAACCCATTACAGGAAGCATTTGGTCACAGTTATTGCAGCTAAAGATGGTGCAGACAGCGTTATGGAATCTAAGAGGTCAATTCCTTTTTCACAGTGGCATATTGCATGTTCGATCACTCTGTTTATCAAATAAAAGAAACAAGCACCTAACTTTGAAGGTTGTTGTGGTTGTTGTTGACTTATATTCCCTTTATATATCAGGAGGATCTACATAGCATTCAGCGGCAAAGTTGCAGAAATTCAGAAACTCTGAAAGAGGGGAAATTTTTTTTTTCACAGAATGATAAGCAGATTTACATTTTAGAGTGTGGGCCATCCTTCATTACCTTATATGCAGACTCTCCATACCTTAATACTATATCAGATAGACATAAGGAGAAGAACTGAAAATTCCACTTCCCGGTGATCTATACTTATGTTCCAGCTGTAAGATGTTTCCAGTTGGTGTTCTACATATGTATCAGTAATGATGCACCTAATTAATTGCAAGATATAAAATGTTCATCTCTGAAGGAGTTTTTTTTAAAAAAAAACTTGAGTCAAATAATAGCTTTAGAGCAAAGAACTGGTGAACTTCTGAATGCTGAAAGCTTATTACAACTGGATTGAGAAGCTTACAATGTCTTAGAATCTCCCCAAACTCATTAGCTGCACTGTGCTGCTTTTAGGAACACAGGCCAGTGATTTTTAAAGCTGTTAAAATAAGCATGTAGAAAGTACCTGTGAGCTACTCAAGATTTAAGAAAACTGTTGAAGGAGAGCAGCAATGAAAGAATAGGATTCTAGAGCGTGTTGTTAAATGACCATTTTTTTAAAATACCCAAACCAAGATGCAATAACCAGAAAAAACATGAATGGTTATCAGAATACATTCAAAAGCTAAGCTGATTGTACGGTCAATTAATATGCAACTCCTATATTGGTACTTAAGAGTGATCCATCCACAAAAGCCATTAAATAGCTGTTAAAATAGACATTGAAATAATGTCTGTTTTAAACTACAGTAGGGGAATTGCTTTGGAAATGAGGAGTGGCATGTTGCCTGTGACGCAAAAGCATCTACTGTGCGATAGGCAGTGAAGAAAATGAATGCTAGCTCATCCTACTTTCCCTTTCTACTATCATTTTACCGAGCATGCTTTTTTTAGAATTCATCTTTGTTTTATAGAGGAATGTCACAGCTTTTACAAGTGCAACGCTTGGAGGTAATTGCAATCATGATATGTCTGGTTGTTTCCAGTCAAAATAATCTCCCACTCAGTTATGAAGAATAGAAAAAAAAGCCAAAGCCAAGTCTGATCAACAGTCAGATGGAGCAAATAAGAAATGTTCTCGCCATAGGGAACGCAGATTAGAAAACTGAACATTTCTTCAGTAACTAGTTTTAAGATGCATGTTAGGAACAAATTCAACCATTAGAAGAATATTCTTCCAAAATCTAATATAGACCTTCAGCAGGAGTAGTTCTTACTTAATATCAGTTCCGTGCCATATACATAGCAGAAGCATGTATTATGGTAGGATAGGAATCAAAGAAGCAACAACAACAACAATAATATATAATTCCAGTCATTAGATACACAGATGGAATAGTGGACTGGACTCCAACAGAACTAGAAGCCCTGGATAGGAAGACCAGAAAAATAATGACAATGAATCATGCCCTTCATCCATGCAGCGGCGTTGACAGACTACTTACCAAGGAGCACTGGTGGGCATGGAATGTTGCAAGTACACCAGACAGTTGAAGAAGGAAAAATTCAACTGTAAAGTCAGCAAAAGCAATCGGGAATCTGGAATCCACAGCAAATCCTGAAGTAACAAGGCACTAACATGTAAGTGAAAGCGTTAATCACAAGAATGCAAGCTCCTACAAGGAGTATATTAGACAGTTGGAAATTATTATAATTAATCCTGGGAACCAAGGCTTTTCTGATAATAGGTAAAAATAACAATGTGAGGGCAGATTGTAAGGTCTCTTGTTTAAGTAAAGACTTTATTGTGTGCAAAAGTGTGATCTCATTTCATCCATCCATCACCAAAATTTTTAATATGCATAAAATTAACCAAATCAGCAGGGATAATCTTATGAATCATATTGACTGTTATGACTTCTTATACTGTTAATAATTAACTGTAATTGTAATGCAACCAATGGAAGTAATGATTTCCATAATTTGGTTTATCTTTTTAGTTGAGTAAAAATGAACCACTTAATATTTAATTCCTATTTGAAGCTTCATTTTCAAGAGTTCCTTTAGAAAAATGAGTTATTCTGATTCTGAGAACAGTTCCCAAATATACAGTATGTATTTGTTTTAAAAAGTTTATACATTCTTATTTCTGACCTTTCCTTAAATTCGTAAAAAGTCAGTGGCTGTGCTAGAGAACTATGCTGGTCTATGACCGTAATAAAGATTGGATTTCGTTTGTACTAGAGAATCTTCCATGCAGCTGAGATTGTCATTAGAGGAGGCACCTTGATTCAGAGGAAAGCAACGCTTGTTTCTCTGCCCTGCCTGATTTAATATTTTTAAATAATATTTTAATTAAGAATAAATACATGGGAAACTGCAAAGAAATTACTAGCTTGTAACACAATTTTATTTACAAGAATATTGCTGGTTCACACATAGACATCATAAGCATTCTTAGAAACAGGATTGGGGAGGAGGTGGTGAGCTAGATAAACTAGGATGTTAGATTGCCACTCTAGGTCTACACTGACTTGCACCAGGGGTTTTAAAAATTTGAATTAATCATGTTTTTAAAAAGGTTTTTACAATAAACATTCAAGTTAATCTATTACATAACATCCATCTATGATACATGCAACAAAAAAAGGATTAATAAATCTGTTATCAACTATGTGTCATTATTTATGGTGGTTTTTGGAAACTGCTCAAGATATCAAAGTATTTATGTGGGCATTAGTAATCGTTAATTGGTGGTAGTGCTAAAGTGATGAGACTTTTTGTACTAAGGGCCCATTTCTACCTCTGCTCTCCAAATATAGTGAATGAGTCCTGTCTCTTCAACATGAGTTGGCACTCTAAAGAACACCCAGGGCATGAAAAGTTTGTGTGTGTGCAAGTGTGTACCACACTGCACTTTGAAAAACTGCTAGAATTTCGAATACCTTCTTTTACTTGGCTTTTTCAGATGTTAGAATAATGTTCTGTAGGACTGCTCTATTAAACAGAGATGTATATTCTTCTTGGCCAACCATTAAAGGATACAGTATATCAAGAGACCTCCTTTTATACACAATTGGTCTATCTAGTTCAGTATTTATTCTTGGGAAATGGGAATAGTTCTCCAAGATTTCAAGTAAGGAATCTTTCAGCCCTACTTACAAACATGAGGGACTCATTTAGTTCAATGTAATACAAGCATGTGTGTTATCACTGAACTATGGCTTTTTTTTCTCATTGATACTGACTACAATATAAAGAGCCATGGTAAAATCTGCTTCAAGTCAAGCTCAGCTCTTGGAGACTTCATGAAGTCCATGTATTTCTCTTGGCAAGAGTGTGGAAGTGATTTGCCTTTGTCACATTCCATCTATCCTACCCTACCCGACCCTACCCTACCTCACCCACTCACCCACCCATCCATCTCCAAGTCTAGGCTACAGCCCTGGTATTTCTTGGTGATCGCCCCACCAAGTCCATAGGCAGTGGCTCTTCAACCATATTACAAAAGGGTTCATTGCTGAAATTCTGCCTCTGTTTTAAAATAGAAATATTGATGCACCCCTCTGACAGCTTTGAAGCAGTACAATCTGTGGCACTAGCTACAGAAATAAATTTTCTACAGTTTATTCTGTCACAGGTTAAAAGACTATAATTTTGTGTTCATCTTGCCTATTTTGATAAAGTCTAAGCAGTTTTATGCATTATACAGTGTAAGATTTGATAAAACGCCAAGACTAAAGTCCTTCTTTTCTGCACACAAAACAAAGGATGTAGGAACAGCAAAATGCCCTGTGGCTCCTTAAAGGCTATCAGATTATATTATCGCATAAGTTTCTTTCATGTGAATGACACTCCACACAAACTTAATATAATAATACATTTGTTAGTCTTTAAGGTGCCACATGACTATTTGTTGGTTTGGCCAACACCAAGTGGCCACTTTTCTGGTTCCTGTTAAAAGGGAACAGAAGTAGGTCAGGCTCCAAGCTGATGATGAGAGCGTTGTGGTCCACTACATTTGGAGGGCACCAGAAAGTTAATGATATATAATTCCCCCTTTCCTCTTGAGCATATTTCAGGAGCACCCTCATATTATCGGTGTCCCAAGAAGTAAATTGACCTGCAAGCAATCAGCCCAGAGTCACCCAGTGAATTCTCCAGTTAAGTGGGAGAATCTCTTTGGTCCACTTAGTTTCCTTGGTCCAAGTCCAGTGCCTCAATCTTTAGATGACACTATTCCTCTTGAACAGAACATTAACCAAGAGTGAGGGATCTCTGGCCATCCAAATGTGGCTAAACTATGAACTCAGCATCTGTTTGTTTGTTTATTGCATTTATAGCCCATCTTTTCTCTGGCAGCTCAAGGCAGCTGGAAGAGTGGGAACTTGAGTCCAGACAAACTGCAATGTGAGAGGAGGAGCAAACCAACCAGCTTAAAGAAATCAATTGGACCCACCCCCCTTCCTGCTGCAGTACCTGATTGGCAG